AATTTTTTACATGATTCCCAATTATTTATATCCACGATTTGTAATATTTGTACAGGCTTTACATTTTTATTTCTATGTAGTAATTAGCAATTCATTTAATTTTATATTTTAACAGATTTGTTACGTGACAGCATTATTTAAAGTTTCTTAAGGATCATGTTATCTGCATCTCCTGCGCTCCACCAAGCCACTCCCATAATAGCTGTCACCACTCAAATTAATGCACGACTCTACATTATCTGTATAGCATGTGTGTAAGACTCGAATACAATTATGAAGTAATAATTTTATGACGAATAAATCTTTCAGTGTGTAAAACTGGCTGTGTCTATAGTATTAAAGACTACACAACATTATTATTATTATATTATCTTTAAATACATTTTTAAATTATCGTTATTTTAAATTATTGTCCCTGGATTAGTAGGGTACTCTTGTAATAAAATAGTGTTGGCAACGGACAGATTTTAAGTATCAATTCTGCTTAAAAAGATGCAATCTAATCTTGTTTACATTAAATAAGCCTGCTCCCGAGCAGGTTTAAGCTTATGGGCCTGTTGCTATGACTGCAACTCCGAGATGAGCTTCGACGAACCAAATAATCCAAGATCATGCCAAATCGTCAACAATCAAATCCAGCTAACTGAGTTAGCAACGTACGAAGAACGGGCCCCTGGACTCAGTGCACTGCTAAGAAAAGCCACAATTCTGCAGCCCAGAGAGGGGCTCAGTGTGTCATCTCAGGCAGCATTTGACCTGTTTTCAAAGGAAGCGCAAAGATATACCAGCTTCCTTTGAGTCCTTTAGTTGATATGTGTTGTTTAAGTTGCTTTTGGCTCCTAGAGTCTCTGGAAATGTGTGACCGTGGCATTAGCCTGTGGTTCATTCATAAGAATCGCTTGTATGTGCAGAACACCCCATTCCACCTGTTCTTGAACCAGTTTTTCTTGGGTATTTTTGAGATGTTAGATGTTTTCTGCAAGGCTTTGAGTAAACCCTGACACCTCGGTTGTGAGTTTTGCATGTGCAAACACCGCTCTTCATTTTTTTTTCATAAGTGCTTTTGTTTTTCCTCAGGTCCGCATTGCTGCAAATTTTATCATCCATTCTCCCCCTGGAGAGTTCAACGAAGTCTTCAATGGTAAAATATTCATGCATCATATATACAAGCATTAAAAAAACCAAACAATTGCTACTTCAGACTGTTTGGGGTTGGTGAGATTTTTTTTTATGTTTGTGTAAGAAGTCTCTTATGCTCACCAAGGTTGCATTTATTTGATTGAAAATACAGTAAAACAGTAATATTGTGAAATACCATTACAATTTAACAGTTTTGTTTTAATATATTTTAAAATGAAATGTATTCCTGTGATGCAAAGCTGAATACTCTACCATTTGAATTCATTTCAGAGTGTTAAAAACACAACTGTTCAAAAGATTGGGGTTGATATAAGATGTTTTAATGTTTTTGAAATAAGTTATTATTCTCACCAAGGCTGCATTTACTGTATTTGATCAAAAAAATTATATTGTAAAATATGATTACAATTTAAAATAACTTTTCTATTTTAATATCTTAAAATGTAATTTATTTTTGTAATGCAAAGCTGAATTTTCAGTATCATTGCCTCTATCAATGTCACATGATCCTTCAGAAATCATACTAATATGCTGATTTGCTGCTCAAATTTTTTTTTTAAGTCTGTATGAATGTCTTTTAATTGTCACTTTTGATCAATTTAATGCATCCTACTGAATAAAGAGTTTTAATTTCTTTCAAAAACAAAAAAAGTCTTACAGAGACCCCAGGTTTTTGAACAGTGGTATATTGTATGTTAGGAGGAATTTCATTATTTTTATGTCACAATATGACTTGCTGTCTGACATCATAATGTTCTCATGATATCACATGACATCTTTTCTTTGGTTTCAGATGTGCGGCTACTGCTCAATAATGACAATCTGCTCAGGGAAGGGGCGGCTCAGTGAGTAGTCTGTATTTATTACAGTATATGGATGCGTATTATATTACTATCCTCCCTGCCTCCTTCATAAACCTGTTTTCTGCAAGCAAAATAGATAAATCGAGATTCTCTTCAAGAGATGCCATGAGTACGCAACCAGTTTTCAGTGTCTCTTTCTGTTTAGATTCCCCTTCACAGTATGAATAGATATATGGAGAAGTGGTATATTTAGCTCCGCGGCTTTATCAAAAGCCCTTTATTTAAATTAGATGTGAATCATTAATCTGTGATGAACTGATAATGTTGCAAGTTTTGAATATATTACACTAAACGCATTGTTTTCTGTTTGTGACAGTGCCTTTGCCCAGTACAACATGGATCAGTTCACACCTGCTAAACTTGATGGAAGTGAAGATCAGGTGATTAAAAATAAACCCTAATTAATTTCTTAACATACATTCACATATTGTGCATGATGCACCAGTGCACATTATTCCAAAGAAACTGTAAACCTTCTTGTCAGAAACATGCTCTCCCTCTGAAATAATGTTAACCAGTTGCCAGATATACAACTACAACTTCCACTGAATTTACTGCTTCCAAACTGCAGGTTTTGATCACAGAGCATGGAGACCTTGGCCATGGACGGTTTTTTGACCCTCGTAAGAAACAGTCATTCAAGTTTGACCACCTGAGGAAAGAGGTGACTGACCCACAGTCTCATGAGGGTGAGGCGGCCCTCAGGCCATGGAGGGATGCTTGTGACGAAGCTCTGAGGGCGTACGTCAAAGATCATTACCCCACTGGAGTCTGCACTGTGAGTTCACTAGATCTCATTTTCGTTTGTTAAAGGAAAAGCTCATTTAATGAAGCAAGTTCTTAGTGTTTTTTTGCAACATTTTTGCTGACAAATTCTTGTATTGTTTTTAGGTTTATGGGAAAACCATCGATGGACAGCAAACTATCATTGCTTGTATCGAGGGTCATCAGTTTCAGCCCAAAAATTTCTGGTGATTTCTTTATCCTTCTCTGTTTAATGGTATGACTTGAGCTTTAAATCGCATATTCAAGTAGTGGTGCTCATACAGGTGCCTCAGGTTTGAGACTGACCTTCAACATCTACCAATATCAATCCTCACCTCCTCCCAAATGTCCTGTCCCTCTTTTATCTTTCTGATAAAGTTTAAAAAAAAACAATAATAGCAAGCACATACTCCTAAACTGCATCCTAAATTATGCACTATGTACTCAACCACGTAGTGTATGAATTTTATAAGGTTATTTTGTCATTAATAATCGAAGTCTGATAGCCCATCCCCCTTCGTGACGTAATCAAAGCTGCGACGGTCAAGTGCATGAAGTGCTCAACATTCTACACTTTGTTTTTTTAGGTTATTTAAGTGCATCATCTGGGTATTTAAAGTGCACATTTTCTTTTTGGAATTTTCAGTGTTAATTCACTGCTCGCACTATTTATGCTACAAATTGTCATAGACTAGTTCATAAGTACGCGATTTGGGATGCACCTTTAGGAAAATGTTTGGCCACGACAAATTTATTATTTTTTTCATGATTTTAATGGCAGTTTGATCTAAAAAGCTCATGCTTAAATGCATTGGTTTTAATACATTGTTAATAAACCTAATATAAATTCTGCCTTGTTCAGAATTGTTTCACATGCAGACATCTGTTAAAATATTTGCATGGCTCCTCGGTGTTAAAACTGATATGTTTAGATGATTTTCAATGGAGGAGCAAGTTTTGTGATCCTACAGACCCGGAATTGCATTTCTCATATGTTCAGTCACAACACAAGTAAACTTCCTCCATTTGTCTGCATACAGGAATGGCCGCTGCCGATCGGAATGGAAGTTCACCATTTCTCAGCCCACTGCTCAGGTAGTGGGAGTGCTGAAGATCCAGGTTCATTACTATGAAGATGGCAACGTGCAGCTGGTCAGCCACAAGGATGTGCAAGAGTCTCTGGTCATCTCTGTAAGTTATCTGAGCCTGAGCTGCTTGGGTTTTTGAGTGAGTATGCTTCCTGTAAATGAGTCAGTATGACACAAACAACCTGCCTGATAAAGTAACAGCCAACTGCCCTGTGAATGACTTGTCTAATGACAGTGGGGTGTGGTGCTGTTTTGATAGATGAAGCACATGATGCCTTTTTGGTACATCTGTTTTCTGGACTTTGAATTGTTGCTGCCTGGCATGGCAGAATGATATTTACTAGTTAAGTTTAGACTACCATTCCATGTTTAGACTACCACCACTACCCAAGTTGGTGTCAGTCATTTAAAAAAAAAAAAAATGTCGTTTGCCTTCCAGACGGCCATCAGTGAGAACTACCAGACCATGTCTGACACCACCTTCAAGGCCTTACGCCGGCAGCTTCCCGTCACCCGTACCAAGATCGACTGGAACAAGATCCTCAGCTACAAGATCGGCAAAGAGATACAAAACGCTTAGACACACGGCATGCCTCCGCTCCTGCTCATGTTACAAGCAAAGAGACAAGCTACAAGGGGCCCATATCTAAACCTGAACCTACATCTGAATCCAGGGCTGGGCCAAGGCGAGAAGGTCCTTCAAGAAGTGTGCTAAAAATGTGTCTGTCCTTTGTTTGTCTGTTTGTTTTCCAGAAGCCACGGTTTGACCTCAGCTGAAGAGACTGCCTCCTTTTCTGTATTGTAGGAGGGCTGCAAGCTTGTTTTAATGGGTTTAGCAAAAGTTATTGCTGTTGAGCAAATACCTCCCAGGACACCAGTGTACAGCGTCATAAATGGGCCCCCCCCTAATATCCCTTACACCTCCCCTAGATCAGCGTTCCCAGTGCTTGACACACTGAACTTTTTATTGCACTTAGCTCATATGATCGATTGAGTCCGTTTTGTCCTTTTTTAGCAACTCGACAAAGTTATACTTCATGTTGAGTCATAAGATATAATTTATCAATACGTAGCCCATCAAAGCTTTCTGGCTGGTCATAATGAATGTCATGACACCAGTTTATCATCACTGTATTGTTTTCCAACGTAGCAATTGGTAATTTTTTTATTTTTTTTTTAAAGCATTGTTGTAAGGTGCCATCATTTGAATGTTCTGTCAATTGATCACAGAGAGGGTTGTGCCAAAGTGAGCACTGTATTTGTACAGTAAGTCGTTTCAGGTTACTGTTGTGTGTGGAAATGGTCCCATCGTCGTACTCTGGTGTCTAAGAATGGTATATATACTGTATGCAGTTACACAAAATATTTGTTACCCCTCACTGCAGACTCCTACCCTAGCTTTTATTGCTAACTATTTTTTACAAAATGTAAGAACAAATATGATCCCAGAGGAATAAACTATTTGCACCAAACTGACTTCATTACTATTATTTTTAATGTATTGTAACACCATTTAATGTCATATTAAAATGCAGTTTTACTTAAAATGAGGGGTGTAAATTTGCTCTAAAGTCAATTTGATTCCGTTTCTTTATCATTTAGTAATGCATTAAGAATTCTCAAGTTTCGCTCTGAATCTGTTTAACATTAGTTGGTCAAACACTGTTTTTTTCATTGTATTTGGTAGTGTATTATTATATAAAATTACACTCAATTCTGTAATTGGTGCATCAAAATGTAATTGTTAAATTGGTGCATTTCTACACCCCTGCTTAAATTGCTAGGATATTTGTTTGGTTCTTGCTATAAAAAGGTTAAATGATAATATACTATATTTTATTTCATTTTCCAATTAAATTTTATTTGGCAAATGGTGATTATTTTGTTTTCCTCTGAATTGATGTTTAAGTTTATTTTATTTTTTTTATATTTAAATGTTTTTTTTCTGTATTTGGTTTTTTTTCTATTTATTGTAATGTTTAAATTATTTTCGTAATATATCCATTTATTAGGTTAACAACAGAATGTTCAAATATGGGCTTTTAGTTTTTTTGTGTATAGTAAAATACTAGTACGTTAGAACCGTATTCTCATCAGCCAGTTTGACGTTTCATTTAAAGTAGTATACAGTATATACTGCAGTATGCTTTTCTGGTTCAACCCGTCGAGTTTAAATGAACGGGAGCGGCGCCCTCTGTTGGAGAGCGTCAGTACAACACTCTCTCCTCCACTATCCCACAATTCTAATGTTTACGGCTAGTCGGTGAAAGATGGCGGACAGCAGTGGCCGTAATCCTCAATCACCCTGTTTCACGGAGAAATTAAAATCGTGGCTGTGCTGGTCGTGGACGTACATATGTGCGCTTTGGTTCGCCATGGTCTTAACGATGGTTTACGTGCTGAGGAGCCCGCTGAAGCTGCAGGAGACCGTTAACGCAGGTGTGTGTTTATGTTCAGCTGTGTGGATGTCTACAGCACAACACAGGACATCTTTCTGTTCATTGAAGGAAAAGTTCACACAGATACACTAATTCTCTCGTCTCTATGCATACCCATGTGCGTTTAATTTTCTGAGGAATATGAAAGGAGAAATGTTGAAGCCAGTGCTGGTCGGAGTTTTCCATGCGATGTCAATGAATGGTGACTGAAGATGTCAAGTGTCCAGAAGGACTCTACATTGCCATTAATGATCATAACAGCACTCGAGTCGTGCAGTGGTTTGAAGTCATACTGTAGCATTGTGAGAGAAACAGACCTGCATTTAAATTCATTACTGAATCACTGAATGTGATTTTTGCTTACTTTAGATGAAAGCAGCTGTCAAATGCAAGTCTAGGAAATGTTATGTTTTGTACATTAATATAATTCTGAAATCAGTGCACTGAAGCTTCACTCTTGTGTCTCATAATTGTCACATTTTGTTATGGTATTAATATCCACAGATATTTGAACTTTTACATAGTGCAGTGTGCATGTGATGTTTGTGTAGTAGCATTGTTCAGAGGAGGAATTTACTAAGACAATGTGCTATGACAGTAAACAAATAAAAATAAAAGTTCTACATAAATAATCAAGTAACTTGTATATGAATTTATATATAAGCTACTTCATTTTTCAGTTACTGTTGTTAAGATGATGCTTATAGCAGAAGTTGACTACATGTAAGTCTAGAAAATTGGTTGTTTTGTAAATGAATGTACACAACTCCATCTACAGTTTGTCACAAACAAAGCATCACCCCAATTACTCAGTTTAAAATATATTATATAAAACATATATCAAGTGTAATGTTTTAAAAGTGCAGTGTGCATGTGATGTTTGAGTAGAAGCATTATTCAGCTGTTAATTTTAAAATTAATTTTAATATAAATGTAAAATGTAATAATTTTATAACTGTAATTTATGCAGGATATGAGTTTAATCATAATTTTTGTACATTTGTTTAAAGATAAAATATATATATACGGTATATATATATGTGTGTGTGTGTGTGTATATATATATATAGCTATTTTGCATTGCTTTAAGATAGTGCTGTCAAACGATTAATCGTGATTAATCGCATCCAAAATAAAAGTTTTTGTTTACATAATATATGTGTGTGTACTGTGTATATTTATTATGTATATATAAATACACACACATACAGTGTATATTTTGAAAATACTTACATTTACATGTATATATTTATATTCATATAATTTAAATTATATATAAATATATTTATTATATAAACATAGCATATTTTACTGAAATATTGCATGTGTGTGTATTTATATATACATAATAAATATACACAGTACATACATATATTATGTAAACAAAAACTTATTTTGGATGTGATTAATCGTGATTAATCGCGATTAATCGTTTAACAGCACTACTTTAAGCATTTTTCAAGATTGACAGGTGTTACAATTTTTTCTTAATATGAGTATGTAAAAATGATTAGACTTTCTTTGTCTTACTATATTGTTATCCATCCACAGCATCTGTGTTTTTAAACACTCTTACGCCTAAATTCTATGTTGCGCTGACTGGAACCTCCTCGCTCATCTCGGGCCTTATATTGGTGAGTCTTATAACTAAAATAAGTAATAACTATACTAAACAACTAACTTCAGTTTCAAAGCTGTGTAAAATCACACTCTATGCGTTTGTCTTCAGATATTTGAGTGGTGGTACTTCAGGAAGTACGGCACGTCCTTCATCGAGCAGGTGTCTGTCAGTCACTTGCGTCCTCTACTGGGAGGAGTGGAGAACAGCAGCTCTGCGGGCCTCTTCTCCTCTGTAAACGGCGATACCGAGCCGAGAACCAACGTTGCAGGTTTTTGAAAGTTACTACATGTTTATCTTTCTAAATATTATAAAGTGAATGGAATGTGCAGCTATTATTTTCTTTTTCTTTCAGAATGTAAAGTGTGGAGGAACCCACTGAACCTATTCAGAGGTGCAGAGTACAGCAGGTATGAAGGTTTCGGTTCATTTGAATATTAGATTTTTTAAATATGACAGAATTCTATTATTTAAAAAAAATCATATTCATTCATGATCCTTTCATTCCAGGTACACTTGGGTGACGGGAAAAGAGCCCCTGACATACTATGACATGAATTTATCAGCCCAAGATCATCAGACCTTCTTCTTGGGAGACACTCAGCAACTTAGACCAGAGGACTCTGGTTAGTCTCATGCTCCTCCACTTGAAAGAAATACCTAAATTGAATCAGAATTGATGTTTAATCATGATTGGTATCTCTCTTGTTTGTTCTGCAGTAATGCAGAAGGCCTGGAGGGAGAGGAACCCGCAGGCACGAATTCAAGCAGCTTACCAGGCAATTGAAATGAACCGCGAGTGAGTTCCACACATCCTTGTGATTTTATTCAATTTACCGTCTTCAGACGTGGCTCATCCAGCCAGACTTTGCAGCTGAAATGGTCCATTTAAACAGCCATAAACATACGTGAACGAGGGATGCATAAAATGTTGGTACCATTTTGCTTATTTTTATTCAATTTTATTTAATCAGTCAATATAAGATAATTAGTTATGCATGCTCTTACATTTACATTTAGTCATTTAGCAGACGCTTTTATCCAAAGCGACTTACAAATGAGGACAATGGAAGCAATCAAAACCAACAAAAGAGCAATGATATACAAGTGCTCTGACAAGTCTCAGTTAGCCTAATGCAATACACGTAGCAAGGTTTAAAAAAAAAAGTTTTGTTTTTAATTATTAAATAAATAAAAAGAAAACAGACAGAATAGAAAAAGAATAGAGCAAGCTAGTGTTAGAGGCCTTTTTGCTTTTTGTTAATTGTATAATAAATAAAAAGAAAACAAATAGAATACAAAAAGAATGAAAATAGATAAGCTAAGTTAAAAGTAATATTTAAAAACATAATAACGCAGTTAAATGCAATCTTATTTTTCATAATGTGCATTATAAAGATGATGCCTAAATTCACTTGTAACTTGTCATTTTAAAATGACCTGTTTTAATTTGTAATGTTATATTTTGAATTTATTTAAATATACAACAGCATGAAGTTGTAATATAAGCCATGTATCGTTATTTAATTACTGGCTTTCTGTTTCAACCAGATGTGAACATGGATTTTAGTTTTTCTAACTCTCTTTTTATTTTTTTATTCTATTTATATCTATTTTATCATATCGTATTGGATATTTAATTATGTATGCTCATTTTCTGTCACTTAAAGCTAATTTTAACACATAATAATCACATAATAATAATTTCATAGCACTATTAAATGTAATATTTTCAAAATTAATATATAATCATTTTTCACACTGTGCATTATAATGTTGATGCCTATTTTTATTATTTAAATGATTTTTATTTTTATTATTTTAATACATAACAGTATCTTATTGTATTATAAGCCATGTATGGTTATTGATCATAACATAGGAGTAATTACTGGCTTTTCTGTTTCGGCCAGAATTTAATCATCATTGCATCTCTAATGTTTGCATCAAATTGACTTTTTCTGACTCTCAAGCATATGACTCATTCATTGCAGATGTGCTGCAGCATATGTGCTCCTGGCCGAGGAGGAAGCCACAACCATCACAGAGGCTGAACGGCTTTTCAAGCAAGCGCTTAAGAGTGGTATGAAACTTTCACACTGTCACACATATATAGCCAGCATACAGTAACTCACACTGTTGCTTATTCTCGTTGCTTTCACAGCCGGTAAAGACACCAATCTTGTGGTCTACATCAAGCGCAGACTGGCCATGTGTGCAAGAAAACTGGGTCGCATCAAAGAAGCTGTAAAGATGATGAGAGATGTGAGCGAAGCAATATACCACTTATGATGTTTAGGTGTTGTGGCTGTAAAATGTGTGTGTTTTAGTGATTATCTTATGGGGCTTATGCCTTGCCACATAGACTTTTATAGAAATTATTTTACAGTAAATTAGGTTTAGGTTTTTTATTTTTGAGGATCTAAATGATTTTCTGTGGTTTTCCACAACATGATTGAACATTCCTGTAACTTTAGTGCAGATATAAAAATAATTCCGCCTTTCTCTATTCAGTTTGACAAAAAATGTTAAAACTCTGGTCACATGACTCTAAAACATGTTGTCACTCCACATCTATAGAATATCCTCAGGGCAAGTTTACATTCAACATTTACCTGAACATACCTTACTATTTTCTTTATGATTCTGTACATTAAAAAACATTAACTGAAAGAGAAACTTTGAATTACAACAATAGATTTAAAAATATAAAAATCTGGTTTCTTATATAGCATTTTTTATGCCTAAAATATTAATGTTCTGTAATCATCAGAGAGTAATTTCTGGCATAATAATTCAACACTTAACATTTTTTATGAATACGTTGGAGCTCAGATTCACATCAGGAGTGCATCGTTCACAGTTTTACATTGAACATAATTGCAGGTGGGCTTGTCGACCCATGACTGCCGTGCATAGATTTTCGTAAACTGTGTTTAGGGCGAAAGTTGTATCACCTTTGATTTTCTTTTTGCTCTTTAATGATGTTTTGGCCCTCATCAACTATTTTTTTCTTTGTACCTGGTTCCAACTTGCAACTTTTCAAAACACTAGATCGGACTTCAGAGTGCTTAACCTCTTCACACCCAAACACACCGTCTCAGTTGAGGGGTATTTACGCACATGCGTGCAACTCAGAAGTGCTGTATCAGACTACAAAGTGCACCTGTTTGAGATGTGCAGAAAATATCAACACACACACATACACCTGGTCTTTCATTTGCCAAATCTGCCCCTAGAGCAAAAAGGACGATCCAGGATGAGCAAAGAGGGCGTTGGATGTCAGTAGTATTACAATTACATTTGTGTGATCACTTCAGACAGAGACTTTATAGTCTGTCCTAGGGTTATACTGCCAGCTTTATAGATTGAATATGTGGACTTGTAGAATTTGGGCAATGCAGTAATATTTTATGCTATTATTATACAAGCATTAAGACCAAAATTGGTGTCCTCTTTATTTTTATTATGTATAACAGTCATAAAAGTGAAAGGCACTTGATTACTTGCTACTTTTTCTCTCCTACTTATTGCTTATGTCGGTGGTTTTCAAACATTTTGATGGGAATTTTCCCCAAATGTTATCCCCTTGATAAAATACATAATCAGCTGCAAAGCAAACTTTACAACAAACTTTGATATTCTAAAAAGATGTTTCGTAAATGCGTTGTCATTGTACTGAAGCCATTGAAAATGACTAAACTATTATCTGGTAAATATATTTACTTTTATATTAAGTTGACAACATACACCACCATTCCAGTTTCATTCCAGTCTCTTGTGCCTTACCAAGGCTGCATTTATTTGATCAATTTAATGCATCCTTGCTGAATAAAATCTAAAAAAGAAAAAAATTTGCCCCGACTTTTGAACAGTAGTGTGTCTTTTTCAACAGTGCAACAGTGGTAATATTAGTTTTATAGTAAAAAAATAAATAAAATAAAGTACTATAATTTGGTAAAAGCATTAAATTATTGTTAAACGTTGAATTAATGTCTTAAATGTTAACTTTGACATTCTAGAAAAATTATAATGCATGATGTCATCCGTCAGTGTAAACCTGTACCTCACCTTTGCATCTCCAAGACCACCGTAGTGTAATGTCATTGTACAGGGTCTGTACAGTCAAGTGAAAAGAGATACGAGACAGACTGAGACATAGGCTTATGGGAGTTCAGCAGGGGCTTAGGAGGAACCTCCACATAAAAGAGACCCATCACTGACACTTGATCCGCCATTAAAAGAGGTGACCGTGTTTGTGTGCGGGCATGTTGTGTAGAACAGCTGCCTGTTGAATGTCAGCATGATCATAAAGCTAAATTACCCATGTCTACGCGCATATGACATATCCAACATGGTGATTGTTACTGAAAGATATGTTTGGATATTTGTTCATAATTCAGAAGGTGCGCTTGACACATTGTAGATGGAGTCAGTCGAATTGAGCTGTAATGTACCATAATCACAGCCAGGGGCATTTGGGTAGGTTATCTTCTGGATAATACCATTTAATCCTGCTGTATTGCCCTCCACAACATTCACCCCGGGGCCCAGAGCAGGGAAGGATTTAAGTATACAGGCTCAGTATAAGTATAAACTCTCATATGTACACTTTAAGAAATGTTCGTAAAAAAATATGGCCTAATATACAGTGTTATTATGAAATACGTTTTCATATAGATTTTTTCACAGGTGTTATACCAGTATTTTTTTCAAAGATTTATTTTCTGTGTTTTGCCTTTATTATGATAAAAAGCAGACAGGAAGCAAAGTGGGAGAGAGAAGGGGGGGGTGGGATCGGGAAAGGTCCTCATGTCGGGATTCGAACTCGGGACGCCTGTATTGGCGTTATACATGTCTGCGCACTTGCCCACTGAGCTATCGGCGCCAACATTATACCAGTATTTTGAATTATGCATTGCATTTTGTAGTGTTTTATGGTTGAATGTCTGGAAAATGTACTAGTAATTTTCTGCCAGGAAATTACCTTTTTTTCTTTTTCTTTTTTACAGTGTATGGGTAAATATCTGGGTCACATTTCACCCCAATATTAAAGGAGAAAACAATACATTATATTTTGCATTAAGAAAATTAAGAATAATTTTGCATTTTTTAAATGACCATTAATATTTTTGTCATTGTAACATTATTTTCATGACACATAATTGCCTTATTAATTGGCCATTGGCCATAATTGCCTGAATGCATTCATTTAAAAAAATTTTTTTTTAAGTTTGACAGTTTTTATCCATTTATGTATTTAAATACTTTACCACATTAATAATGTAATATTATACATAATATATTTATATAATGAAAATAATTGTTTCTATAATACTTTTTTTGCGTTATGGTAATAAGAATTGAGAATGCTTAATTTTCTTTTAATTTCTTTTGTTTCCTTGAGTTAATGTAATTAAAATTGTTTTGTTTTGTGTGTCGTTGCAGTATTTATTAGAAATGAAGAGTCTGATTTTGCCACCTGAGCATATTTTGAAGAGGGGAGACAGTGAGGCGGTGGCGTACGCTTTCTTTCACCTGCAGCACTGGAAACGGGCAGAGGGGGCACTCAACCTGCTACACTGCACCTGGGAAGGCAGTATGTACAGTGCACATCTGTTCTTTTTCTTCTTTTTCATGTATAGAATATGATGATTACCATACTCATTTACCATGAAAATTACAAGGCACTTCAGAAGTACTTAAAAAAAAAAAGCATGGCATGCTATTATCATCATGTAGTATCTGAAAACAAAAGTACTTTGTTGTAAACTGTTTACTGTAAAACAAAATGTAAATCATCTCACTTGATATCAGTTGACACCTTTTGACTCTTGTAGCTTTCCGGATTATTCCATACCCCCTGGAAAAGGGTAATCTCTTCTATCCATACCCAGGATGCACAGAAACTGCAGACAGAGAGCTTCTGCCTTGTAAGTATACACTATATAGTTTTATATATCCATCGTTATGTATAAATTGTTAATGTGCTGTCTAGGGATATGCCGGTATCAAATTTTCATGTTGCGATTAATTGCTCATGGTTTTATCACGGTATATGATATTATCACGATATTGAAATTTAGTTGCAAAAAGTGTTGTCATAATACAGTATAACAGATTTAATAACTTTTTTCTTATAGCCAAAATAACTGAACGTTTAAATACAATAAAGCAATACACAAAAAATGTATAAAGTAAAAAATTTTACACGAAAATAGATAAGCTAAGTTAAAAGTAATATTTAAAAACATAATAACGCAGTTAAATGCAATCTTATTTTTCATAATGTGCATTATAAAGATGATGCCTAAATTCACTTGTAACTTGTCATTTTAAAATGACCTGTTTTAATTTGTAATGTTATATTTTGAATTTATTTAAATATACAACAGCATGAAGTTGTAATATAAGCCATGTATCGTTATTTAATTACTGGCTTTCTGTTTCAACCAGATGTGAACATGGATTTTAGTTTTTCTAACTCTCTTTTTATTTTTTTATTCTATTTATATCTATTTTATCATATCGTATTGGATATTTAATTATGTATGCTCATTTTCTGTCACTTAAAGCTAATTTTAACACATAATAATCACATAATAATAATTTCATAGCACTATTAAATGTAATATTTTCAAAATTAATATATAATCATTTTTCACACTGTGCATTATAATGTTGATGCCTATTTTTATTATTTAAATGATTTTTATTTTTATTATTTTAATACATAACAGTATCTTATTGTATTATAAGCCATGTATGGTTATTGATCATAACATAGGAGTAATTACTGGCTTTTCTGTTTCGGCCAGAATTTAATCATCATTGCATCTCTAATGTTTGCATCAAATTGACTTTTTCTGACTCTCAAGCATATGACTCATTCATTGCAGATGTGCTGCAGCATATGTGCTCCTGGCCGAGGAGGAAGCCACAACCATCACAGAGGCTGAACGGCTTTTCAAGCAAGCGCTTAAGAGTGGTATGAAACTTTCACACTGTCACACATATATAGCCAGCATACAGTAACTCACACTGTTGCTTATTCTCGTTGCTTTCACAGCCGGTAAAGACACCAATCTTGTGGTCTACATCAAGCGCAGACTGGCCATGTGTGCAAGAAAACTGGGTCGCATCAAAGAAGCTGTAAAGATGATGAGAGATGTGAGCGAAGCAATATACCACTTACGATGTTTAGGTGTTGTGGCTGTAAAATGTGTGTATTTTAGTGATTATCTTTCTAGGGATATGCCGGTATCAAATTTTCATGTTGCGATTAATTGCTCATGGTTTTATCACGGTATATGATATTATCACGATATTGAAATTTAGTTGCAAAAAGTGTTGTCATAATACAGTATAACAGATTTAATAACTTTTTTCTTATAGCCAAAATAACTGAACGTTTAAATACAATAAAGCAATACACAAAAAATGTATAAAGTAAAAAATTTTACACAGATTAAAGTGCAAAAGAATTATAAAGACCAATAGGTATCACTTTACAATAAGATCCCATTAGTTAACCTTAGTTAATGCATTAAAGCTGCAGTGCGTAACTTTTTTTTGGCTAAAAATGATCCGAAATCAATATTTGAGCAAGTACATAACCAGCCAGTGTTCAAAACTATCGCCTTATTTTAGCCCGATTCACAACGGTGAGCTTATAATAATGTTTTCTAATTTGAGTGGTACGGGTAGGTTTTTGCAGGAATTTCGCGCATACTGCCGCACCACGTCACATCTGTAAACATAAAGAAGTTGTCCTGGCTACTAGGCTATCACATGTGCAGATGCTGCAGGTGGCCGATCGATTATAGCCTTTTCTCACAGCAGCTAGAATAATTACATTTATCATTTTGATGGCGGATTGTAATCCAGAAAGGATTATGTGCTTATGAAACACATGTGACTGAAATTAAATTTTATTCCAGTTTTAAATGTGCTTCTGATTAAATGTGCCTGGGATTACACAATATTTGTATTTTAAAGACAACCAGTTTGAAGGGAGCATAATTTGCTTTTGGGTTAAACGAATTTCCTAATATGAAATTCGAATGGTATGACAATTAGAGTTTAGACTGTACAGAAATTGAAATCTACACGCTAATACACTATAGGCAATGCTGATGTTGTTAACATGAATAATTTGAGAATAAAGTATAACAGTAATAATAATTTGCATGGTTTGATGTGATATGAGCTAACCGATCTTTAGATTAAATCACCATTGGTAGCGCGATTTATTGTAATGCTTTTTTCCTCAGTTGGTCAGAACAAACGTGGCAGACTTTGCCTTGTAAGTATACACTATATAGTTTTATATATCCATCGTTATGTATAAATTGTTAATGTGCTGTCTAGGGATATGCCGGTATCAAATTTTCATGTTGCGATTAATTGCTCATGGTTTTATCACGGTATATGATATTATCACGATATTGAAATTTAGTTGCAAAAAGTGTTGTCATAATACAGTATAACAGATTTAATAACTTTTTTCTTATAGCCAAAATAACTGAACGTTTAAATACAATAAAGCAATACACAAAAAATGTATAAAGTAAAAAATTTTACACAGATTAAAGTGCAAAAGAATTATAAAGACCAATAGGTATCACTTTACAATAAGATCCCATTAGTTAACCTTAGTTAATGCATTAAAGCTGCAGTGCGTAACTTTTTTTTGGCTAAAAATGATCCGAAATCAATATTTGAGCAAGTACATAACCAGCCAGTGTTCAAAACTATCGCCTTATTTTAGCCCGATTCACAACGGTGAGCTTATAATAATGTTTTCTAATTTGAGTGGTACGGGTAGGTTTTTGCAGGAATTTCGCGCATACTGCCGCACCACGTCACATCTGTAAACATAAAGAAGTTGTCCTGGCTACTAGGCTATCACATGTGCAGATGCTGCAGGTGGCCGATCGATTATAGCCTTTTCTCACAGCAGCTAGAATAATTACATTTATCATTTTGATGGCGGATTGTAATCCAGAAAGGATTATGTGCTTATGAAACACATGTGACTGAAATTAAATTTTATTCCAGTTTTAAATGTGCTTCTGATTAAATGTGCCTGGGATTACACAATATTTGTATTTTAAAGACAACCAGTTTGAAGGGAGCATAATTTGCTTTTGGGTTAAACGAATTTCCTAATATGAAATTCGAATGGTATGACAATTAGAGTTTAGACTGTACAGAAATTGAAATCTACACGCTAATACACTATAGGCAATGCTGATGTTGTTAACATGAATAATTTGAGAATAAAGTATAACAGTAATAATAATTTGCATGGTTTGATGTGATATGAGCTAACCGATCTTTAGATTAAATCACCATTGGTAGCGCGATTTATTGTAATGCTTTTTTCCTCAGTTGGTCAGAACAAACGTGGCAGACTTGTTACTTACTTGTTCTGATGACAATATACGGTGAAAATTCTTATTTGGGTCATATATTCCAAGACGTAGGCTAGAATCTGTGATTGCGAAGTACAGTAAATATCCACAGTGATATTTACTGTGACAGTGACTCCTAAAAAACATTAGATTCATCCGCGCTGGAGCTATGCCAGTGCACAACCCACACAAGGAAGATAATTCCGCAAACAGCTGCAATTGCAGGTTTTCAAACAGAGATGGCGACAAAGGTGCAAAACTTACGGACTGCAGCTTTAACGTTCACAATACCTACATTTGCTACAGAAGTTATTAATCTTTGTTAAATCTTTGTTAAAAAAACACAACTCTTAGTTCATGTTAGCTCATTAAATAACACAGTTGCAACTTTTGATTTTAACATGCTGTAAAATATTGGAATTACCTAAGATTAATGAATGTTTAGAAGAGTTTTTCATTGGCAGTTTATGTTAACTAATGAAGCCCTAATGTAAAGTGTGACCGAACAATAAAGAATCAAAACACCCTCAAACAATATCTAGGGCATGTTGTAGTACAGTATTTGGCGTTGTGATGAACACCATAGCGAATACACAAATCTGAATGGCTATTTAAATCATTAAAATATGTTTCAGAAACAGAAAGTAGCGCAGCTGCTTTGTTTTCGAGGTAACAGCTGCATTTCTGCTGTTCAGCGCCATCTGCTGTCAGAGAGTGAATGTGCACTTTCATTCAGATCGTCTCTCACGCGCTCCGCCATGCGCTTCTCATCCGTGCTTGTTTACATCAGAGTGCGCATGCGTCTTTCACGCAGCATACAGCGGTGTTGTGCATTGTGACCAGTTGGTGGGAAATGTATTCTTAAAATGCAAATAATTTGCATTGCTTCAAAATTCTGAATAATTTGTAATAAATAATTATTTTTTGTATTTTGAAGTGCCCACGATAACAATATTGTGCATATTCATTATCGTGATATATTGCATTACCAAATACCGGCACATGTCTAGTGCTGTCACATTAGAGTGATTTCAATAAAAATTGTGCAAAAAAAAGCCCATTGTCAATAGTGTAGAGAAGAAGCACTGCTCACACAGACGTCACTTTCAAACAAAATCAGTGTGGCAAATTCACAACCTTTTAAAGACAACCAGTTTGAAGGGAGCATAATTTGCTTTTGGGTTAAACGAATTTCCTAATATGAAATTCGAATGGTATGACAATTAGAGTTTAGACTGTACAGAAATTGAAATCTACACGCTAATACACTATAGGCAATGCTGATGTTGTTAACATGAATAATTTGAGAATAAAGTATAACAGTAATAATAATTTGCATGGTTTGATGTGATATGAGCTAACCGATCTTTAGATTAAATCACCATTGGTAGCGCGATTTATTGTAATGCTTTTTTCCTCAGTTGGTCAGAACAAACGTGGCAGACTTGTTACTTACTTGTTCTGATGACAATATACGGTGAAAATTCTTATTTGGGTCATATATTCCAAGACGTAGGCTAGAATCTGTGATTGCGAAGTACAGTAAATATCCACAGTGATATTTACTGTGACAGTGACTCCTAAAAAACATTAGATTCATCCGCGCTGGAGCTATGCCAGTGCACAACCCACACAAGGAAGATAATTCCGCAAACAGCTGCAATTGCAGGTTTTCAAACAGAGATGGCGACAAAGGTGCAAAACTTACGGACTGCAGCTTTAACGTTCACAATACCTACATTTGCTACAGAAGTTATTAATCTTTGTTAAATCTTTGTTAAAAAAACACAACTCTTAGTTCATGTTAGCTCATTAAATAACACAGTTGCAACTTTTGATTTTAACATGCTGTAAAATATTGGAATTACCTAAGATTAATGAATGTTTAGAAGAGTTTTTCATTGGCAGTTTATGTTAACTAATGAAGCCCTAATGTAAAGTGTGACCGAACAATAAAGAATCAAAACACCCTCAAACAATATCTAGGGCATGTTGTAGTACAGTATTTGGCGTTGTGATGAACACCATAGCGAATACACAAATCTGAATGGCTATTTAAATCATTAAAATATGTTTCAGAAACAGAAAGTAGCGCAGCTGCTTTGTTTTCGAGGTAACAGCTGCATTTCTGCTGTTCAGCGCCATCTGCTGTCAGAGAGTGAATGTGCACTTTCATTCAGATCGTCTCTCACGCGCTCCGCCATGCGCTTCTCATCCGTGCTTGTTTACATCAGAGTGCGCATGTGCGCATGCCGCAGCATACAGCGGTGTTGTGCATTGTGACCAGTTGGTGGGAAATGTATTCTTAAAATGCAAATAATTTAATAATTTGCAAAATTCTGAATAATTTGTAATAAATAATTATTTTTTGTATTTTGAAGTGCCCACGATAACAATATTGTGCATATTCATTATCGTGATATATTGCATTACCAAATACCGGCACATGTCTAGTGCTGTCACATTAGAGTGATTTCAATAAAAATTGTGCAAAAAAAAGCCCATTGTCAATAGTGTAGAGAAGAAGCACTGCTCACACAGACGTCACTTTCAAACAAAATCAGTGTGGCAAATTCACAACCTGAACACGAGTGAAATCTGTGTGATGAACTATTTTGCATGCTTTACAAACTCTAGATTGTGTAGATTCTTATTGGAAAAACAGGTTTTCGCCCCTGAAATGTCCCTGAGCAACGCTAAATGTGACCATACCTTTTGCACAAGGATAGAGTTTTAAAAGTCAACTGGTTTGAAAATAATTAAAAATAAGAAGAAAATAGGGTACTTATTGACCTGTTTTTAAGATAAATAAATCTGTCTGTCTGTCTTTATCTTTTTCTTCCAGCATTTCACGAGGTCTCAGTGTATCCGAAGAAGGAGCTTCCTTTCTTCATCCTCTTCACAGCAGGCCTGTGCTCCTTCTGTGCCATGTTGGCCATGCTCACACACCAGTTTCCAGAGCTCATGGGGGTCTTCGTCAAAGCTGTGAGTATCTGTATGCCTCACCAAACCCAAAAGTTTTTTTTTTTCTTTTTTTTTTTTTTCCTCTTGTTCCTCTGTGCCCTTATTTCTTTCTTTTTTTGTTTAGAAGAGAAGGTACACAATCACTGAACTCCCAAGAGAAACATTTCTTTGTTGCAATATAAGAATGAAGTCTGTCAGTGGCATTCTAGATGGTACAAACTGCAGCTCGTTATGAGACCATATATATATATATATACTGTATATATATTCAGTCATTTCAATTTATTGGCAATGAATAGGTCCTTTTTGTTGTCATTAAAGTGAAGTAACTGAACATAAAATATAGGAGCCTAATAAAAATGCTAATTTTAAAAGAAAATTTCAGCCTTTTGCATTTCAAGTATAGTATATTTAGATAGATAGAAAGACAGAGAGAGAGATAAATTTATATTATATTATCTTATAATTCTTAAAAATAAATAATTAATATATATAAATGATTAATTTATTGAATATATTAATAATTAATATACATAATGCAAACATATCAATATTATTTATATATATATATATA